ACCACAAATGGGATGGTGACAACACAAACACTCTTTTTCATTTTGGTTCCCTAAGTGTGATTCATGCTAGGGGTTTGTTATTCAACTGCAGGCTACAATTCTGATTGTTACACCCGCTCAAGAGGTGGAACGGAGCAACCATCATGCTGGTTCAGGGTTAGAAATGGCTCAGGGCATGAAAGCTCCCTCACCCCCTTGGTGTTTCATTAATGTGTTCATAGGTCACTTATTGAGTGGGTTTCAATAATGATCCTTCCATAGGTTCATCTATGGAAACCTTGTTACGATTTCTTCTTCTTTTAAATGATAACATTCAGTGGACTTTTCGTGACATTTCGGGTAGTAAACCATCCATGTTGCCATGATTCGAACACTTCACTAGACCATTCAATCGGTTGAAGTGATGGGTGGTGTGTACAAAGGGTGGGGACATAGTCAACGCATGTTGATGACGCACACTTACTATGAATTCCTCATTGAGCACCAATAATTGCAATGATCTATCCTCATTGCGATGACATTTCAAAGATTACCCAGGCTTATCAACCAAAGCTGTAGATTTGTTGAATGCATCAGTGTAGCATGTGTGTAGGCCAAAACATTTAAGGGCATCACAAACCTATTATTGCCTTAAACTTCCTTAGCCTAAGTGGCCATAGTCCCTCTAAGAAGCTAGCCACAAAAGATCACCTCTGCATAGCTAGCTAGCAGGTTGAGGTCTTGTTCGTTAGTGAAAATAACTAGACAAATCACTCAGCTAACTAAGAATAGCCATGCACCACCACCCATAGTATCAAGAAAGAGCTCTTAGTCTATCAATCTTAACTATGTTTGGACTTGGTAAGTTTCCCCGTGTTGAGTCGAATTAAGCTATAGGCTCCACTCTTGATGGTGCCTTTCCATTAATTCTTGTATGTTTCAGCCTTGCAACCATACTTCCCCAAAGCCCAAAGACTTTGATTTCTTATAAGGTGCCAGGGGAGTCCTAAAATTAACATCCACTAATCCCTAGTCAGCAACATTTATAGTTGAGACTAAGACAACATCTAATCATCTTCAAGCCCCCAACTTTCATTCTTGATTAATGAAAACATCCTTAGCAAATGCTTTTGTAGTTGTTCATCTTTCATAAATCCAATAACCTTTGACTATGAAATATGAAAGCCCCCGACAGTCCCTGTTAATCATTACTCCAATCCCAATGGCCATCACAATCGAACTAAAATCCTATGATGTTATCCCATGTTAATGTATATAAGTGTAAGCTACTTTGAGTACTTTAATTTCTTCAAAATTAATAGTGCTGAAGGAATGACATGGCTAGCTAAGGCTAGCAAGGCATTCTCAAATTTAGGGACGAGTAAACTGATGCTCATTATGAGGTAAACCAGATGAGCTGACCTTAGTTCCAACCTCAAGCTTTTTAATTGCAACATCTTAAATATACACTATTAGAGCTAGAAGTGCAGTAGCTACTAGCACTAGACTTGCCCTTCAATGGATCTTTATTAAGGGATTTAGACTGTACTCATTCTAATTGCTAGACTGATAGAGCCTGATATTGTTATTTATTATCACTACCTCCTTATGTCAAGATTAGGAAATTTGTGTGCTTGTTGCTTTCCTTGGATGTGGTAGCAATTTCTCAAGCTCCCTCTTTAAAATCAAACCCTAATTCTCTATCACCAATCACCACTATAGTAGGCCACTATCCTACCATCGAAAGTTGATAAGGCAAAAATTTGAATGATGCATCACCAGCATAAAGCCCATGTGATCCGTTGAGCTATCATCAATCATTAGAGCAATTGGTAAAGCCCACATTGACCTTTTATCTAATAAATGCATCCCTTCCAGAAGTTGAGGCTTGTTGCACGTATTAGCTTTAGAATTACTACGGCTATCCGAGTAGTTGACCAAACAAACTGTAACTGATTTAATGAGCCATTCATAGTTTCACAGTCTGAATTATTTCATACTTACACATGCATGGCTTAATCTTTGAGACAAGCATATGACTACTGGCAGGATCAACTAGGTAGCATTCCTTTGATATGTTGGCACTGCATGGGCCTCAATGACTGATTGAGTGACAAAGAGAGCTAGCATAGAGCACAAGCATCATGCGTGTTGAGCACGTAAAATACATAGCATCATATGAACAAGGACTTAGAACTTGCACCCCCAAAACATTCCATATCTGAAAGCATGATTGATCACTAATGCACTGATGTAGCCATAAAAGTTTGGGTGGCACACTTGGGACACAAGGCATGATTGAGGTCTAACCTATAGCCTTTAAGGACATAAGATGGATAAAGCATGAAAAGACATTTGGTTTTCAGTAGTTTTGGTATGCAGCATAAGATCTTGATTGCACCTCCAAGGTATGATGACCACATGGGGGGAGATTGAAAAGTGTGATGGGTCAACAGTTTGATGCATCAAGCATGGAGCCTGCCAACATGCACAACCATAGCACCACTAAAATGCCTATTGTGTATAAGTGGCAGCACCCATGCACATGATCCATAACCCACCCAATCAATTACTCAATGAGCAAGTGAAGGAAATGATGAAGGAGGCCATGTCGAAACCACTTGGCATAGGAAAAACACAAGCAAGGCCCACGAGACTGCCACTACCATCCAACACTGGCATGACACCATCAATGCTTGGTTTGGCTAGGTGCACACACACAAATTTCACTATCACCACCCTAAAAGGACATTGCATAATTCAGGGACTTATTCTTGGGGTCTTGGGTACCACCAGCTACATGTATAGGCTTGGCTAGGCCAAGGCATTTTATGGTCATTGAGAAAGGACCACAAGACTACCAAATACCTAAGAGACTTGGCTAGATCAAGCTCATGATCATAGCTTCTACTTGCACCACCCCAATGAGTTATTGCCTAATTTAAAGACTTGGTCTAAGGTCTGGGGTAGCATCAGCCACAGCCACAAACTTGAGCTTGACACAACCAAACCATTTTTCTACATACAACCTAATTGGTAGAGGTCATGGGCTCTTGTGGGTTATCAGAGCAACTAGTCATCAAATAACATAGCCAAAATGCATGTACAACCTGGATTTTACTCTAGGGACATTGCCATTGATGTATGTAATGATAGGCCCATCATGCACACCTACTCACCTCGCAGAGCGAAAAGAGGGCCCAGATAACCATCCTTTAAAGAGCATGAGAGATTTTATAGATATGCTAGTAATAGACATTAAAGTGTCTATAATGGGGACACATTTTTCAAACAAGCACATCCTGCACCAAGGATTCATGGATACTGAAGATGGTCGAGGCATGTCCTCGTGTCATGCCCTGGGCGGGCGTACCAGGCACATCAGGCGCACCAACATGCGCACCTAAGGTTGAGGCCCGCGCACTAGGCACAGTAGGGGAGTTAGCGCATAAAGCCTTAGAGACAAGGCCAGATTGCCTGCATAGCCTACAGCCAGCCCACAAGGCTAAGGTCTGGCCTACATGATGCCCACACCACATCTAACAGGGCCCAAGATGGGAGATACGTAAGGGGATCTTCTGAAAGATCATAGATCAGTATAAGCCTTCTGACAAATCCAGTTGACCCTTAAAATCAGGAGATAGAATCTTGATTGATTGTAATCTTTGTAAGTCCTTGATTTTAGCCTTGATTCTAGGGATTTAGCCATAAGTGTAGCTAGGAGCCCAACTATAAATAGAGGGCTGCTCCACCTTTATTTGTACACCATTATACACTTTTATTTCAGTGAATACAAAGCATATTTCAGCAAGCTATCTTATTTTTTTGTTTCTCTCAAACTTGCGTATTCAGCCCTTCCTATCATTCTAGTGCCCACACGCTAGTGTTTTAGGCTGACTTAGGCTACCAGAAGGTGATTCCAAGCCTAAGGCCACATGGATTCTGAGTCTAAGGTTAGAGCCCGTGACAGTTGGTATAAGACCAAGTTTGATTCTGCGTGTTTGTGTTGTTCAAGTTAGATCACAGTCGAAAAGATGACATCCTAGAGTGACGTTGCTAGCCAACAACCAGAGGCCCAGGAGCAGGGGCATGAAAAAGGCAAGAAGTCCAACTCGAGAGACATCTAGTCTACCATGGATGGTAAGATGGCCAAGGTGGAGGTAAGCATGGGTGACATGCAAGAGAAGCTTAAGGATGTGGAAACTCATATTGAAGCACCAGACTCCATGAAGGAAAAGCTTAGTGGTGAGTTACAAGCTACTCTCAACAAAGGCATGGACGTGATCACCAAAAAAATGAGACCTTGGAGGTTGTGGTGGAGACCATGCGCAATGGCATGAGGCCATAAGCTCATCAGTGAGCTCATTGCTTACAAGACTGCCATTGGGAATGGCATGTTTGCTGGAGTGTCTAAGTTCAGGATGGATGTCCCCAAGCCCAAAGAGTTCAAGGTGACTAGGGCAGCTAAGGAAGTAGACAACTACTCATGGGCTATAGAGCAGTATTTCCAGGCCATGGGCATGCAAGATGAGGTAATAAAGGTAAGCACCACTGCTATGTATCTCACTGATGTAGCCTTATTGTGGTGGAGGCACAAGTGTGATGATGTTAGGCATTGGAACACCAAGATTGAAACCTAGGCAGAGTTCTAAAAAAGTTCAGGGAGAAATTTTACCCGAAGCATGTCAATGATGAGGCGCGGGCAAAGTTGTACAGGTTGAGCCAGCAAGAGGACATAAGGGAGTATGTTCAGAGATTCTTTGAATCAATGCTACAGATCTCGGATCTAGATGAGATGGATGCCTTATTTGCTTTAATGGATGTGCTGAAGCTGAGGGTGAAGCATGAGCTACAATGGAGGGGAGTTCATGTCTTGGCTAAAGCCATGACTACTGTTGAGTCCTTAATAGAGTTTAAGCCTTTGAACAAGTTTAAGTCTTCCAAGGCCAAGGGTAAGGGCAAAGACGAGAAGGATTGGAAGAAGTAGTCCAAGGGGAAAGATCATGATCGGGAGTCCAAGGATGGGGACCGAGACTGTTCAACCAAGAATGGTGAGAGGAAGCCACCAGCAGGCAAATGGAAAGCAAAAGGGGATCAAGAGCCACTAACATGCTACCTATGTGGAAGGAGCCACATAGCATGTAATTACCCATAGAAGGGTAAGCTGGCTGTTGTAAACAAGGAGTCTAACAAGGACCCAAAGTCAGAGGTAGCAAAGCTTGGGCCGTTGGTGCTTAATGTTGTCCAGAGTAAGGCGAACCAAGCCAAAGGGCTTGATGTTTGTAGATCTGATGGTTGCAGGTCAAAAAGTGAGTGCACTGGTGGACACAGGTGCCTCGCATCTTTTTATTTCAAGTGATGGAGCCTAGAAGCTCAGACTAAAGGTGTAGAAAGGGATTGGTACCATTAAAATGGTGAACTCCAAGGAGGTTCCAGTCATTGGAGTAGCACAGGGAGTGGAGTTACAACTTGGAGACTGGAAAGGCAAGGAGACCATAAAGGTAATACCCCCTGACGACTATGAGTTTCTAATTGGGTTGGATTTCCTTGTTTGGATTAATGCCCACCTTGTGCCTTTTGCCAATTGCATTTGCATCTTGGATGCACGGTGCCAATGCCTAGTACCATTGAGGAGAGGGTCTGGAGTTGGGTCATAGGTGGTATTAGCCATCAAATTTGCCAAGGTGGTAAGCAAAAAAAAAGACACCTTCTTAGTAGCCCTGACATATGAGGAACCAAGGGAGAAGGAGATCAAGTCACCCTTTGAGATGCTAAAAGTGTTAAAGGCATTAAGTGATTTGATGCTCGTAAAGCTGCCTAGCAAGCTACCACCTAAGAGAGAGGTGGACCATAAGATTGAGCTGGTGTCCGAAGCCAAGCCATCAGCTAGAGCCTGTTACCGAATGTCCCCACCAGAGTTGGAGGAGTTGAGGAAGCAGCTCAAAAGTTAGTTGATGTTCGCTTCATCAGGCCATCAAAGGTACCATATGGTGCACCGGTTCTATTCCAATGCAAGCATGATGGGTCATTATAGCTATCTATAGACTACCTAGCTTTGAACAAGCTGACCATCAAGAACAAGTACCCTATCCCCCTTATCATGGACTTGTTCAACCAATTTGGGAGTGCAAGGTGGTTCACTAAGCTGGATTTAAGGTCGGGCTACTACCAAGTTAGGATCATGGAGGGAGATGAGCCCAAGATACCATGTGTCACTTGGTATGGTTCATATGAGTTCCTAGTTATGCCATTTAGACTCACGAATGCCCTAGCAACATTCTGTACCTTTATGAACAAGGTACTTCAGTCGTTCTTTGATCGGTTTGTTGTGGTTTATTTGGATGACATTGTGATCTACAGCCAGACTTTGGGAGAGTATGTAGACCACTTGAGACAGGTGTTCGAGGAGTTACAGGTGCACAAGCTATTTGTCAAGAAGGAGAAGTGCTCATTCACCTAGTAGAAGATCCCATTCCTAGGCCACATGGTGGGAGGTGGTAGGATACGCACGAATGAAAGCAAGGTGTATGCCATCCTAGAATGGGAACTGCCAGCCAAGGTCACTGAGTTGAGGTTATTCCTAGGGCTAGTTAACTACTATAGGCACTTCATCAAAGGTCACTTAGCAATAGCCATGCCATTGACTGACTTGCTCAAAAAAGAAGAGCATGACAGTGGAGCGCAGGGTGCCACGAAGCCTTTGACAGGTTGAAGTAGGCTGTGACTGAAGAGACAGTCTTAGCCTTGCTAGACCATGCCAAGCTATATGAGGTGCGTACAGTGCATCAAACTTTACCATAAAGGACATGTTGAAGTAGGAGGGACATCCAGTTATGTTCGAGAGCAGGAAGTTGAACAAGATTGAGCGTAGGTACATAGTCCAAGAGAAGGAGATGACTGTAGTGGTGCACTACTTGCGCACTTGGTGCCATTACCTGTTGGGTTTGAGGTTCATGGTTAGGATGGACAATGTGGCAACCAGCTACTTTTAGACACAGAAGAAGCTATCCCCCAAGCAAGCGAGATGGCAAGATTTTCTTCCAGAATTTGATTTCTAGATGGAGTACAAGCCAGAGTGGGCGAACCTAGTGGTAGATGACTTGAACAAGAAGGCTAACATTGTTGCCATTAGCCAACCAGAAGGGTTACTGGTGCCATGCATCATGAAAGGGCTTATGCATGGTCCTACAGCTAAAGATCTTATAGAGTACACCCAGCAAGGTAAGACTAGGCAGTTTTTGGGTGTAGGATGGTTTGTTGTACACCAAGGGCAGTAGACTATTTGTGCCATAGGATGGGAAGCTCTGTAGGGAAGTTTTGCAAGAGTGCCATGATTCAAGGTGGGCTGGACACACAGGAGTGAGCCACACCTTAGCGTTGCTAGAGGATCGATACTACTAGCCACACATGAGGGATGATGTAGAGGCCTATGTAAAGACTTATCTTATGTGCCAATAGGACAAGGTGGAGCTTAAGAAACCAGGTGGTCTTTTGGAGCCATTGCCAGTGCCAGAATGACCATGGGAGAATCTTTCTCTAGACTTTATAATCGGTCTACCTAAGGCAAAGGGGTTTGAAAGCATCAAGGTAGTGGTGGACAGGTTTTCCAAGTATGGAATCTTCATTCCAGCAACCAAGGATGCCCAATCGAAGTGGCAGCTCAATTGTTCCTGAAGAACATGGTTAAGTACTAGGGAGTGCCAAGGACCATTGTTAGTGATTGGGACGGGTGTTTTATGGGTAGGTTCTAGACTGAATTGTTCAAGCTGTTAGGGTCAGACCTGAACTTTTCCACCAGCATGCATCCATAAATCGATGGGCAGACTGAGCGTGTGAATGGACTATTAGAGGTTTACCTCAGGCACTATGTGAGTGCCACACAAAGGGACTAGCCAAAGTTGCTAGATGTTGCACAGTTTTCCTATAACTTACAAAGGAGTGAAGCAACAAACTAGAGCCTATTTGAGGTTATGACAGGTCAACAACCACTAACACCCAGTTCGATTACTGCGGGTTATACAAGGCCCAATCCAACAGCATACAAGTTTGCCAAGGCTTGGCAAGAGCAAGCTGACTTGGCCAGAGTCTGTCTACACAAGCTGGCAAAGAGGTTGAAGAAGTGAGCAGACCAAAATAAACAGGACGTGCAGTTCCAGGTTAGAGACTTGGTGTTAGTGAAGCTGCATCCCATTGTGCTCCATAGAAGGCTGCACAAAGGCCTAGTCTAGAGGTATGAGAGACCTTTTTAAGTAGTCAAGAGGGTAGGCAAGGTTGTCTACAAGCTGGATATGCCACCCAAGTTGAGGGTACACCCAATGTTTCATGTAAGCCTGCTCTAACCATTCCATTAGGATGAGAGAGATCCAAGATGGGTAGTGTCAAAGCGTGTGCCATTGGGAGCAAGGGCCTCATATGAAAAAGAGGTCCACAGCATCATAGCTGACCGAAAGGTGAGACAAAAACACTACCAACCAAGATAAGAGTATTTGGTACACTGAAAAAGATTTCTAGACAATGAGGTGAGTTGGAAACCAGGAAAGGACTTACGACAGTTTAGGGACCAAATCAAGTAGTACCATGCAGAGGACATAACGAGGGCATTGTGCAATCAAAAAGGGAAGAATGTCATGCTCTAGGTGGGTGCACCAGGCACATCAGGCGCATCGGCATGTGCACCTGAGGTTAAGGCTGGTGCATCAGGCACACTGGCGGGAGTTAGCACACAAGGCCTTGGAGACAAGGCCAGATCACTCGCACAGCCTGTAAGCCAACCCGCAAGGCTAAGGTCTGGCCTGTATGATGCCTGCACCACATCCAACAGGGCCTAAGATGGGAGATACGCAAGGGGATATTTTTGAAGATCATAGGATCAGCAGGAGCCTTCTGGTAGATCTGGTTGGCCCTTAGAATCAAGAGATAGAATCCTAATTGATTGCAATCTTTGTAATTCCTTGATTTTAGCCTTGATTCTAGGGATTTAGCCATAAGTGCAGCTATGAGCCTCAACTATAAATAGAGGGCTGCTCCACCCTCATTTGTACACCATCATACACTTTTGTTTCAGTAAATACAAAGCATATTCTAGCAAGCTATCTTGTTTTCTTGTTTCTCTCAAACTTGTGCATTTAGCCATTCCCATCATTTTAATGTTCGTACGCTGGTGTTTTAGGCTGACTTAGGCTACCAGAAGGTGATTCCAAGCCTATGACTGCATGGATTCTAAGTCTAAGGTCGAAGCCCATGACACTCACACCAAGGCCCAGCAAATGCCGCTGGTGTTCAAGGTAAGTGCTTGTAGCAAGGGCCAGTATATGCTGATGGTGTTTAAGGCAATTGCCTATACGAATGGCCATTTTTTGCCAATACTGATCAAGGCATGTGCCTACACTAATTCTGGATTGTGCCAATGCTGATTGAGGCATGTGCCTTCAGCAAAAGCCAGTACATGCTGATGCTCATCAAGGTAAGTGCCTATACCAGTGGCCAACTTATGCCAATGATGGTTGAGGTAGGAGCCTGTACCAAAGGCCAACTTGTACAGATGATGGACAAGACATGTTGTGCACCATACACCAATATATGCTGATAATGGTCGAGGCCTTGGCCAAAGTTTGATTCTAGGCCCTAATAGACATGTCGGGTGTCAAAAGCCAATCTAATATAGGGCCATGACCAAACATAAGATGTGGTGAGCCACCCTTGTCTAGGGCCATGATTGGGTAAAGGTGCCAAGGGGGAGGGTAGATCTCATGTGCTTGGAAAAAGTGTTCTCATTTTAAACTTTGTAATGGTTCTTGGTAGCATAGCTATAAAATCTCTTAAGCTCTTTAAAGGGGGTAAGCAGTCAACATATTGTTGGGCTACCTCTCTGGCTATGGCATGTGCTAGACAACCCATCTAGGGCTACCCCTCTGGCCCTGATGATGGTGGGAAGACTTAATGTTCTTTTTGTGCTCATTGTACTATTCTTGATATTAATAAAACACTTTTTTTCTTATGGGAACATCGGGGTTCACCTTGGTGTGCTCCCATTATGCCTCAATATATCATTGTGTATTCTTGAGATTAACTTATGGCTTGTTGGTTGCCTATTCAAATATTAAATATCCTTGGTTGACTTGTGTGGAAGCATCCATCCAAGTGCTGCACAGTCTTTTGCTTTATTGAGAGAAAGCTTAGCTCATGACACATGGTGTCAAAGCATAGTTGAAAAGTGCTTGAGAATTGATAAAATGGCTTCAAGTGGTGGATTTAATGACTAACAGAGGATCAAGGAGCTTAAGGCCATTGTGGCTACCCTAAAAGCTCATGTGGTAACTCATTATCAACTAAGGGAGATTGAGACATCCTAGTTGGAGTAGTATGATACTCTACATAGCTTGGGTGAAAACACCAGAGATGTCTTGAGTGTCCTTTAAAGAGAGTTTGAGGAGCTCAAGGCCTAAGTGAGTGTATTACAAATGACTGTCGCCAAGTCAAGTTTTAGCTTGATATGGAAAGGGAAAAGGGCCAAGGTGCTAGAGCCTCGACATTATGAAAGGGCAAGAGATGCCAAAGAGCTTAAGAACTTCCTGTTTGACATAGAACAATATTTTTGAGCTATATACATAGAATTAGATAAGGATAAGGTTGCAATGGCTTTAATGTACCTTATTGGGGATGCCAAGCTGTGGTGGTGTTCAAAATTTGAAAATGATGAATGCCTTATCAAAACTTAGGTAGATTTTAAGAAGAGTTGAAAAACTAGTTCCCCCTTGAAAATGTGGAGTATATGGCTCGAAGCAAGCTTCGAGATTTTGTGCAAATAGGAATGGTCCAGGAGTTTGTGAGGAGCTTTCCCACCCTGATGTTGGACATTAAAGACATGTCTAAAAAAGATAAGATGTTCTATTTCCTTGAGGGCTTTAAACCATGGGCCAAGATAGAATTACAAAGACAGAAGGTGTAGGATGTGGCATTGCCATGGCTATTACCAAATGTCTTAATGACTATCAAAATGGCCCCTTAAAATGAAAGAACCCTCCATCAGGTGGTAGTAACTTCAACTTTAGGAATGGAAGAACAATGGCTAGAACATATCAACCCTTCAGTGGGGGATCAGATAAGTAGCCTTTAGGTTGAGACAATACCCAACCCAAGGCAAACGATGCATCAAATTTCAAGCCAAAGCAATCATTAGCTTACTTCTTATGCTAAGGGCCATATTGGGTGGCCAAATGCCAACATAGAGGTGCCCTTAATGCTCTGAGAGCCTCTTTTTAAGAGTCCTCCAAAGTACCCAAACTATTCAACAAGTTGAGAAGGAGCCAGTAAGGATGGGCTCAATACAGTTCCTTAGTGCCTATTGTACCCAACTAAATATGATAAAGAAAAAACCTAGGACAGGTTTGATGTATGTGCACCTAGTACTCAATGGTAAAACCACAAAGGCCATGGTAGATACAAGTGCAACCGATACCTTCATCACATTAGAGAAAGCAAAATTGGTCTAGTCTCAAGATTAATAATGACGATGGGCAAATAAAAGCAGTTAACTCACCAGCCTTTGCAATTAGTGAAAGCTCTAAAAATTTGATGACCAAGTTAGGGCCATAAGAATGTAGACTTCATGGTTTCCCCCATTGATGACTTTGATTTTATGTAGGACTAGACTTCATGATGTTGGTTTAAGTTATCCCAATCTTTGCTGCTAGTTGTTTATTGTTCTTGAGGGAATGCCTATGTGTTCTGCCAGCCACGATCTTCCCTAAGAATGGGAAGAAAATTATTTTAGCATTACAATTCAAGATAGGGGTAAAGAGAGGGGAGCCCTTCCATATGGTCATGCCGATTTACAAAGATGGGAATGAGTTGGAATTGGTACCC